CATTTATTATCGTTTTTTTCCCCTTACTTTCTCTAATTTTCGCCGTAAACATTCAGCTCATGTTCACCTGAAAATGACGTTAGATTTACCGCCGTGTCGCTTATTCAGGTTCAATCCAATTTACAGCCGATCTTGGCCTGTAAGAGAGGAAATTGCCAATTTTGGTATTTTTTAACGAGGAAATTCAAAGTAATTTGTTTTGATGTTGTTGACTGACGTGTTTTTTTTTTTTTCCTTTTCTTTTTCTTTTCTTTTATCGATTATTATTTTACGTGTGTGCGTGTGTGTACGTGTGTGTGTGTGTTTGTGTGTATGTATTTGTATGTGTGTACGTGTGTGTATGTTTGTGTGTGTGTTTGTGTGTGAGTGATTGTGTGTGTGTGTGTGTGTTTGTGCTTGTGTGTGTGTGTGTGTGTTTGTGTGTGAGTGATTGTGTGCATGTGTGTGTATGTTTGTGTGTGTGTGTGTTTTCAATCTCATTAACAGTATGGTAAGTGCATTTCACTATTCAGATGATGACGATGATGATTATGATAATAATGATTGGAAAGACTATAATTGATGGTAAAGATAAAATAATGATAATGACAGCAATGATAATAGTAATGATACTGATAATATTAATAATGATAAAGAGAATGATAATAATAGTAATGATGATAATAATAATAATAACAATGATAATGATAATAATGATTATAATAATAATGATATTAGTAATTATGATAACAATGTCTATGATAACGATAATAATGATGGTGATGATGATACTATTAATAATAATAATGATAATAATAATAATAATCGTCATCTTCATCATAATTATAATAATAATAAGGATAATGATATTGATAATAATGATCATGCTAAGAAGGATTAAAAAGAAGGAAAATGAAGAAATAAATAAAAGGATTGCAAACACACACACACACACACACAAAAAAAAAAAAAAAAAAAAAAAAAAAAAAAAACAGGAAAAAGTGGAAATAAAGGAAGCGTGAAATATAATAACAGCAAAGAAGAGAAAGAGACGAAACAAAACACTGTAATGAAAATATTCATAGTCAAGTATAGTACAAGGCTAAATTTTCAGTTATGTTATTGAGCTTAAGGCCATACATTACATAATAGAATTAGCATTAATGCATTTACGACCTGCGCGCCGACTTTGATTCGAAATGAAAATTATTTGCTGTATATTATCGAACAGAGAAAAGAGCAAAGAAATATCTATAAACCGAAGACTGTATCGCTTTATGTCACGAGTGTCTAGCAATAAGTCAGTTTTATGGACCGCTAAAGATCACAGCAGTCGCTAAAGCATCTCATTCGCGCCTGTACATTGTAAAGATTTTTATTTCAACGTCGTCCTCACATCTATGTCCAGCAGCAACGACCCACAGTCTCGGATCACGATAGAAGATTCGAATACCTTAAATTTAAGCGTCATTCAGCATCAACAACCGGATGAAAGACTTTGAAGCTGCATCGAAACGGGACTCGAGACTCCATGAGCTTCAGACTCCCGAGCTGCTTACCGCAAAAGAAACGCAGAACGACGAAAGTAAATCTGTTTGTTGTCTAGCACTGCAAATATTTGAGGTCGTGACGTTAACGCGCGCTCTTGTTTTGATTAGAGGCAGCTGCTCCCGTGTGGGTTCTTTGTACATAATCACCTGTGAAGGATTAGGCCTTCTATTTGATTGAGTGAGAATGTGACTTGAGAGATTAGGCTAGTAAAGTGAGGAATGCTTTCGCCTCATTTTTTTTCCTTTTTTTTATATAAACTGGTGATTTACTTATTATCGTTATTGTTTATCTTTTATGCGCCCCACCACTCGATAAGTATAATCCACATTTTCGGGTTATTTCTCTATACTATAATAATCATTAGATACACCAATTGTTGAGGTGAGGCCGCGAGAGAGAGAGAGAGAGAGAGAGAGAGAGAGAGAGAGAGAGAGAGAGAGAGAGAGAGAGAGAGAGAGAGAGAGAGAGAGAGATAAAAGACCAGGAAAGAATGGGACTGATCGCATTCTTCAAATACCCTCGCTGGCGATAAAAAAAAAAAATCTTAATTAGAAGTTGTTATCGTGCGTAGTTAATCATCAGTGATTATCTCTTGCTTTGGTGACTCATGCTTTACCTTTGATGTCCTCTGAATAATTTTTCAAATTAGCTCAATGGCTCGTGATACACTAATAAAATCATAACATCAATCACATTTAGTCTGAGATAACTGTATTAATGATAATAGTAATGATAAAATAATGTTAGTGATAATAGTGATAAATATGGTAGTTATCATATCAACAGAAATGATTATGATAACTAATGATATTGATCATGATAATAATTATATTAATGACAATGAAAATTAAGATTTTGATGATCATGCTGCTGAGGAAAAAGTGAGAATAATAATGATAATGGAAGTGATCATGACTATAACGATAACAATAATCATGACAGGATTGCCAGTAACGATTACGAGTTAGTGATAACAATAATCACGAAGAAAATTAAGAAGAAAAAAAAAATATTAATACCTCTACCATTGATAATGAAATTCAACTGAACCTCAATAAAATGTACCTTACTCCATACACCCTTAGCAGCACAGGAGCTCAGGAGATCGCTTAAACTTAACTGAAGTATTTCAAGATCACTAAATGTTTATACAAAAAGCATATGGTGGTCGTTGGCGTGAGTTACATAATCTTGGGTATGTGAGTGGGGACGGGGCACTGAGGGGGGGGTAGTGAGGACCATTCATTATTATCTTAATTAGTGTCATTATTGTTAGTGTTGTGGTTGTTATTATTATTATTATTATTTTTCTAGTTAGAAAAAAAAATATGATTATCATCACTCATTATCACAATAATAATAATATTGATGACAGTACTACTACTACTAATATGGTAATAAAATTAATGGTAGTTGTAGTAGTAATAATAGTAATATTGATAATAGTAATAATTATCATTATTATCATCTTTATCATCATCAGCATAATGAAAATCATTACCATTTATCTACAATTGACTATGTAAGAAAGAGGAATGTGAGAGAGAGAAAGAGAGAGAGAGAGAGACAGTAAGAAAGAGAGGAGAGGTAAGAAGAGACAGAGATACAGAAAAAAAACGTAATTCGAAATAGAGATTGGAAAAAACCAAAAACAAAGAACAATCCTAAACACCAACCACAACAACCAAAACAACAACCAAACAAACAAACAACGACCGACAACCACATTAAACCCTATTATTATTTTTCTCTCTCTAACCCTAAAAGGCATTCCCACTCCTCAGAAACGACCCCCCCCCCCCCCCGTCCTACAACGAGACCTCGAAGCATGGGCGGTGAGGATGCTTCGGGGCCTCGAGGCTTCGGTATCCTGGGGGCAAACACCGTCAGGATTCTGATGGGCACGCTGGTCACCTTCATCGCCGTCGTCCTCGTCAGTCTCGTTGGGTTCTGGTATCAAGGTGGGTGTGGTTTGGCTGTCCTAATGGCCTTTGCTTGTTACATGAGGTGGTTTAGGGTTGTTTTGAAACGTGTAGTTTGATTGGTAGATTCTTGTGTTTGAGGTTTTGTTTCACATACGTGCATGTACATGTGTGAATAGGAAACATTCACACATATAGATACACTCATAAATATACATCCATATATGTATACATGTGTGCGTGCGTGTGTATAAACACACGCGCGCACACACACACACACAAATACACACACACACACACACACACACACACACACACACACACACACACACACACACACACACACACACACACACACACACACACACACACACACTCACTCACACACACACTCACACACTCACACACTCACGCACACGCACGCACACACACACACACACACACACACACACACACACACACACACACACACACACACACACACACATATATATATATATATATATATATATATATATATATATATATATATATATAATCTATCAATCCTATCTGTATATTTCTATCTCAGTAAAAGCCAATATATCCACCAGGTTGTCCGAAAGGAGGATTTCGGTGTCGAGACGGAGCGTGTCTCCCGAGGAACATGTGGTGTGACAACGTGACAGATTGCCTTGACGGTGAAGACGAGAGTGCCGAAAATTGCTGTGAGTTTTCTTTTCTGTCTGTCTGTCTGTGTCTCTATTTCTCTGTCTCTTTCTATGTCTCTGTCTCTCTCTCTGTCTCTCTCTCTCTCTCTCTCTCTCTCTCTCTCTCTCTCTCTCTCTCTCTCTCTCTCTCTCATTCTCTATGTCTTTTCTTGTTTATAGTATATATCTGTCTTTTATTTATTTCTCTGTGTCCGGTTTGTTTGTTTCTTTCAATTATTTCTCTGTCTCTGTCTGTTGTTGTATTACAAAACTGCACTGCATTTTAATTGCAGTGGATTGCAATCAGTATAATGTGTGCTTTGTGTCAGTGTCCTTGCATTACATTTTATATCAACTGTCATGTATCACTGCATTAAATCTATAGTAAATTTATATCATTACATTAAATATCTACAACGGATGCAGTTACTCTTTAATAATTGTATTATGTATATATTTTTTATCTTCTGTTTTGCCTGTTTTATCGTATTGTTTTTTATGTATATTCTACATATATACACATTGTATTGTTTACGATACCTGCATCATATTGTCCCGTATATCACAACAGCATTAGGTTGCACTGTACCTTTCTTGTATATCGCATACGTCTTATATGTTGTATATTGTGTCTAGCCGGTACTGTATATATTCGTTTTCTTTCCCAGTGTTGCCTCCGGGCCCGAGTCCTGAGCTTATAATGGATCTCCTCGATAGCATGAAAAAGTGCGGTAAGTTGATTGTGTGTTTACGTTGATCCAATTTAAGCTAGTTTATTTGCCGTTTTAAGAGGTTGTTTATATTACGGAGTATTGACGAAATAGTATCTGTTATTTGGGTTTGTTTTTAGTTTGTATAGTATCATTGTTTATTCCTATCAGCGTAGAAATAAGGTATGAAATATATGTTTGACATTATTTTTGGTGGAGTGTAAGATCTACATATAATAGTCAAGGATGATAAAAATACAAAGTGAAATGGAAACAAATAGTCATAAATAGATTGTTTTGTAACATACTAATTGTCCCATTTTTCTTTCATTATTTGATGAACAGACTCTAAGATCCTTTGTCATCATATATCACATTACTATATGATTTGTAAAAAAAAAAAAAAAAAAAAAGAAAAAAGATGTGACCAGCATCTATGAAACGATCGTACTGAATTTGGTAACGAGTAAAAAAGAATAGTTTGAGTCACCGTTCTGAATCAATTACGTTTTCTGTGATTTACCCCAGGTTTGGCCGATCTTCGTTTTCTGTTGATTTGACTATGTAGTTTCCTGTGATTCAACCCAAATGAATTTGTATCCATGTTAAGGCGGCCGCTAAGTGAAAGTAGTTATAATAAAAAAACGACTAAAATGATACTGCTACTACAGCTATTACTACTGCTACTGCTACTTTTATTACATCTACTACTTCTACTAACACTACTACTTCCACTATTTCTACAACTGTCACTTTTACTTTTACTACTACTACTACCACCAAAAACACTATAACTTTTACGGCTGCTACTATTTCTTCTGCAACGACAGTTGCAACTACTAAAATGCTGCAACGTCTACTACTGCTACCTCTATTTCTAATACTATCACTGCTACCATTACTACTACTACTACTATTACTACTACTTCTACTACTATTACTATTACTAGTACCACTACTACTACTTCTACTACTATTACGACTACTATTACTACTATTACTGCTGCTGCTACTAGTACTACTACTCGTACTAACGATGATAATAATAATAATAATGATAAAATTGCTACTACATTTACTACCATCATTACAAGTACTATATTTTTTACCATTCTACTACATCTTGTAATAATGGTGGTACTGATAACAGCAATGATGATATTAGTGATATTGCTAATAATGTTGATGATAATATAGATGATAATGATAATGTTGAAGATAATAATAACAATGACAATAACGATAATGACGATAAAGCTAGTGATGATAACAATGATAATATTAATGATGATAATGATGATAATGAAAACAATAATCATAATTATGATAGTAATAATAGTGATGGTAATAATAATGATAGCAATAAGGATAATAAAAATGATCATAATAATTAAAGAAAATGATGATGATGATGATGACAATAATAATAAAAATGATGATAATAATTATAGTTTTAATGGTAATGATTATATTACAATAATGATAATGATAATAGAAACAATAACAATAACCACCACCATAATAATGATATAGATGATGATAAAAACAATAATAATAATATTGTTGATGATGGTGATGGTAATGATAATGGTAATCATACTGATACTACTAATAATGATAATTATGATAATAATGATGAGGATAATAATGATGATGATAATAACGATAGTAACTGTAATAATGATGATAAAGAAAGACGTGTAATTTCTCTAAGATAAATAATCAGTATGAGTTTGATCTGCAGAAGTCCAGTAGTGTCGCTCGCTCTCCCCCAGACCTGTGCGTGTGTCCGCGCTGGAGCAGCTTAGCGAACTGTGAGCCGGAGCCGAAGGACAACACGAGCATGAGCGAGTGTAAGGCAGGGAGCGACGTCCTACCACGCCCCTTCCCCAGTCCCTTCGTTAGGAACCCTCGGAGTGAACGCCCGTTGACTTCCCCGATTGCCCATGTCAGTCCCCACGCCCCTCCTGTTAAGAAGGGCGAAGTGGGAGACTTTGCCGATGGGAAGGAATACATATTGTCGAGAAGCAGCGCGGATCGACTTCGTGCAGGTCCTCCCGCTGGGCCGCGTCGCAGGAGGGCCCATTCTGAAGGGGAGTTGGGCCACAGAAGTCCCTGGAATTTCGATCTGCGCCGAGTGATGCGTTTCAAGCCATTTCGTTCGTTCAGTGACGTGACGCAAGAATACAGTCACAGTAAAGAGGATGGTGAAAGAGTGAGCAAACCCACGTGGGGGACTTCGAACGTTGGCACAGGAAGGAAAATGAATAATCGGCTGAGGAGGACTGGGGAATACGCGACTGAGATCACAACCACTGCTCGTAAACGGCTCTCATATTCAGTCGCGTGTGACAGTTCCTTCGTGGACACAGGATTTTGCGACGGTGTTGCACAGGATAAAACTAGCGCAAGACTTCACATTTCTGCTGCAGGGCCTCCTGGAAGCCTTCTTGTTTCTCACACCCTTCCAGCGAACACAGACCTATCCAGTAACACCGACTTGAACAAAGCCACCCATGCTGATATGATAAGTTCCTCAGGTATGAACAGAGTCAGCAAAACCGCTTCACATGTAGACCTCAAGACCGAAAAAACTAAACAACAAAACAAGCAAACGATTGAGAAGAACGAGACCGGACTGGCGGGAAA